GAGAGAGTTTTCCAAGATCTACCCTCAATCGGGGCAGCACATAACAACTTTCTTACCCAACCACGGAAATTGGGAATTTCATCGACAATTCCCATGGTTGCTAAAAAAAAAAGAGAGAAGGAAATTAAAATGACAACCAACAGAATTAAGAAAAAGGTATGTGAAGGTTATTAAAAAGAAAACTCACGTGCAAAATTCCACTTCTCAGGAAAGGGAACATTTTCTTCACCCACTAAACCAATAGTGGGGGCAGCAACAAACCTGGCATACCAGCCACGGTCTTTATCGTCTTCTGGATTGACCAGAACTCTTGCTTCTTGCTACTAAAGTAAAAACTCCTTGGCGAAAGAGTTTGGGAGAGTAAATGTGTATTAAATGGGAGAAAGTAAAAGGCACACCAACCATGTTGGTCAAGTGTCTCAAACAAGCAACAGCCCTCCACACAATAGGGCCAATTTGCCCTAAACAGACGTCGAAAAAATGACAGAATTCGAGGATAACAAAGTCAATAGCAGGTTTGAAACCCAACGTGAAAGGGTATGTATAAACAAAAGAAAACCCAATTAAATAAGAGGTGATTCTTTAGTTCGCATTGGGAATTATAATAGGGAAGTCATGGCTCCAATGACAGTCTTTACGAACTAAAAAAATCATACCTTCAGTAATCTGAGTTGGGTAGATGTCAGCACGATCTAATGAAGACAGTTGGTTTCTGATAGATTCTCTATCAATATAAAAAGATAGTTCAACGGAAACAATCTCATCTACAGTAGGTTCACGAAGAGGCTCAGAGGGTTCTTTACCTCTAGACGAAGACCTTTGAGAAAGGGAGCATCTGGTTCTAGAAGGTGGAGTGGAACTGGACGAAGGTAAAGAAGAACCTCGTACGTATGAAGACCCTAGATTACGAAGTCTACCTCCTCTCCTGCTCCTAAAAGGAGCAAGACAAAGGTTATCAACAATGGGGACTCTCCTAGGGTTAGGGTTTGACGAAGACATAATAGTACGTGGAAGAAGGAAATAAGAATTGAATATTTTGAGAACTTTATGTGAAGAAGACAAAAATAAAAACTATGTTTATACTCAGAAGCAACCGTCAAAGGAAAAGCTGTAATGATGGAAACGTCATGATGAGAACTGACGTTTCGTAATTGGTGAAGCCGTGAAAAAGCCTTAGAAAATGTTGAAAAGTCGCAGAACCAATCAGAAGATGCCACGTGTAGTGGGCATTAAATAGAAGTGACAAATGAAGCGTCAGTTCCAGAAGGGAACTAATGGTGGCAAATATTCCCGCTTTAATAAAATCCACTTCCCAAATATTCTATTGATGAATACATGGCAAGTGGAGGGACTATCTGTATTGGTAAAAATTGAGTTCATATATATTGAATTCAATGAAAGATAACATGCCACGACACGTAGACTGGTCAAAGGATGACGATCAACAAAGAATAGTTAAAGAGGCACGAGATACAACAGACACGAGCAGAGATTCAAGAGACTCGGTGCCCGCACCTCTCTATGTTCAAAAGTCAAGATAAGAAAATGAACCTGACAACAAAAGTGGGAACGGATACAGTATTTAATAGACATTAAATACTGAGAACGTTAGAGAATCTATATTGAAGTACAATGATTATCATTTATAACGTAGCATTGAATACCTTTAATTATCTATAATGGCCTTATTATCAGTAATACACAATATGTTGTACATGTTAATAAAGTTCCTCTTAAAAGGCACAAAACATATTCTTCCGTTGACCCGGTTTCAGACCATCAAGCATTGATGGAATAGATTTTTGAAGGTCAGCTATTGAAAACAGAACAAACTCTTTATTAACAAATTCAGTGTTATGAGATATACTTTTCTTTCTAGTTTAGATGGATACCAGGCTACATAGTAAAGAAAATAGAGAATGATAAGTCAAATTAAGATATTTTAGATGTATGGTAAGTAAACTAAAATAAAAAAATTATTAGTCCCAACCTCAACTTTTGGATGTATGCTGTAGTCTATTGATCTCGCCTCGTCGCTATGCATTGCAGGCTTCTTCTGCAACTAAACACAGACTCTCTAACCAGTTTTGTTTCAAACCCTTAACATTACCCCCATTTATGGACAAGTCTTCTACTATATTCAATGTCATAGTAGAACCATGTCTGTTGAGATACTTTATACTCCAATCTTCCATATTGTATCATGGAATAGCATCGGAGAAAAAAGTAGTGAATTTAGATAATTATTCGTATTCTAACTTCAAACAAAAAGGAAATGGCAATAATAAAGTAATTCCTTCGTATAGACACATTTCTATTGTAAATAGTACGCATAAAAGGACCAAAATAATTTGGTCTCAACTCAAACAATAAAAAAGACCAGAAATGAAGATCAAGCTTCTCTCTTGATTCTCCGCGAAGTAATTTTGTATCAGCGGCACCACTCTATCCACGAAATATATATGACTCAAATTCTACATATGAGTCGAATTAATTGGAGACAAACCAAAAAGACTAATACCCAAAACATTTCATTCTATCGTTTGTAGTCATTATGTTACTCTAATTTTTTAACTCATCAATATCATTTGTTAAAACTAATATAACAGCCACTTTGCAAAAGTCCTTCATGTGTATCAGAAAACTCGGCACACAAAATTTAAAAATACTCATAAGATATCATTTGGAGAAATATACTTTATCCTTGAATTATTGGAGCGGCGAAATTGGAAATGTCAAAAGAAAGATCAATGTACATAAAATATTTATTGCTGCAGAAACCAAGATTTAGAGCCTGTAAATAGAGAGTAAAATATCATGCTTAAATGAGAGAGTTTTCAAGCCATCAGATTCCTTCCCTCCCATGGAAAACAAACGACATCATTCCATAGTAATTTTAGAATGAAGATCTTTAAATGCATATATATAACATAATCCTTAGAAAACTTAAATATGAAAAAGATTAAATATCTCTTGTAACTGCTCAATGATCATTTGCATATTGTTAAGTGAAAAATTTATCTTTTATAGATATAATTAAAAATACTATAAAATCTAATTTACCTTTTAAAATGTCTCACGAGTATAAAATTAGAATAGTTTTCTCCAGTATGTTACTATACAAAAAGAAACAAAGATGAAAAAAATAGTGGAAAAGCACAAAGAAGACGTGAAAAAAGAAGGACCAATTAACCCCCCCCCTCCCCCCCTCCTCCCCCCAAAAAAAGAGATCTCCAAAGGATGAAGACTTCAACAGTCAAACATTATTTACAATTCCATATTTGGATACTCAGTCTCCTTCTTATAATAACCATAACCAAACAAAAAGCAGAATATAAGTAAGGAAAAAAGAAGGGATTAGAGAAATGAAAACCATAAGAAATTTAGTGAATAGGTGAAGATTCTTATATACTGGCACAAATAAACAATATCCAACTATGTACTTGAAGATTATTTTCACTGGTAACTTTCTTCTTCTTTGTTGATTTCTTCTTCTTTTGATTGTTGATTTTTCTCTGCCTTGGGTGTCACTGCATTTGAAACGTGAGGCGTTTGATAGAAACGACAACTGAAAACGTGCGCTTTGGCTTGAAACGGTTCTTAAAAAAGATTATAGTAACTATTGCCTTGGATGTCTTCTCATTATTAGGAGTTGCAACTGTAATTGAACGTGAATTGAGAAGAAAATAAAGTAACTGTATTTCCTTTAATTAAACGTGATTGACAAAAAAATAAAGTGACTGTATTTCCTTTAAAGTGATTATATTATATATATTTTTTTAGTTTCAATTTTAAAAAGTATCTCCCCGAAAACGTGGGACTCCATGTTGTGAGTAACTGAATTGGTTAATTATTTAAAATTTTATTAGCTTTTTTCTATTTTAAAATTTTCTTGAATCTCCAATTTTTTTGGAGTTTTGTCCTAAAACAAGACACATGGTGATATTTTATTTTGACACTTGGCATAATTTCATGGATTTGCTTCTCTTTTTATATATTAATAGATTTTGATTCCCCTTAATAAAATTTTGGCTCCGCCACTAGTGCAAAATGTCACTACAAAATAAATGTGAAAAATTGCCTCTGTATGGAGAAAGTGGAGGGACAAAATCACAAAAGCAACAAATTTTCAAGTTTGTTGAAATGAGGGTATGTGCTGGATGGCAA